GCCGTTGCCACAAATTCGGATAAAAGTTTTGGAAAGGGGGGGGAGAAACATGAAAGGTCACAAGGATGAAAATGAATCGTTGAGGCTGGTTTTTTTGGGGAGGGGGGAAAAACAAACGTAAAAAATGATGCTTTGGGTCATTCTTTCCATAAACAGGAGCTACGAGAGCCATCAAACCGATCTGAAGCCGTTGGGAAGCTCATAGTAGCCCAACGGCTTTCTCTGATCTGTTGGGCCTTCGGATGTGCTGGCTTGCAACTCCCATGCTCGCGCAAGTTGGCCGGGGACCGTGGGAGCCGTAGTCCCACACATTGGCAGGGAGGTTGGCACTGATGGGTTTTTTTCCCCCTCCTCCCAGTGTCCCGGTGTGGGTGCCCCATGGTTTGTTCAGATCAGGGCGATGCCAAAAGCCTGCGCCTCGCCCTGGGGACTACTGATCAGCTGCATTCACACAGCATGCTTCCTCTGCTTCCCCCCAAATTCTCCCGTGTTGGCTGGCTGGGGAATTCTGGGAGTTGGGCACCCCTGTTCTAAACAGCGGTTTAAGCACAATAAAAACAGGAAAGGCTTTGTCAAGAATAAATACAGAAACTTTTCTGAAGACTTTTGCTGGGTGTTGTAAACAACACTTTTTTTTTTCTTTTTGGAGAAAGGCACCACCCAAAAAGCGCAAAACACAATTCAAGCATCCAACATGGCAGCCATTTCTTAATTTGGGGGAGAATTTTTTCGTAGGCTAAACATTGCGGTGTCTCTCAACCTGAGCGACTTGAAGATGGGTGGACTATCAACTCCCAGAATCCCTAGCCAGCACAGGTTGGGGGGATTCTGGGAACTGAAGCCCACCCATCTTCAAGTTGCCATGGTTGAGAAACGCGACTGTAAGGTAACCAACTTCATTGCAGAGTGCCAGTCAACTTACCTTTGCTATCTGAAGATATTTTGCCAAAATTCTTGCAATGATCCACCCGCCTCCAAGTTAGAAGAAAAACACACCCATGGTTGGCCGTCCAAAACGTCTCACATTTGTGTCTAGCTACACAGCCAGCACACCTGCCTTCTACACTGCTTTTTCTCCAGCTGTGTCCACTTCTCTTGGCCAATGCCACGTATAATAGCTTGGCAGAGAGGTGGGTGACCATCTATATTATGGGTTGACTGTTGAGTTCCACCAACGCTCATAATCTTTCCCTGGTTTCTCAAAGGGACCCACAACTTGCACACACCCAGAAGCGAGGAAAAAACACACCCCTCAAAAAGCTGAAAATGAATAGCCCTCATTCCTGAAGGCAAACCATCCCAGGAATGCTTGTCAGTTGATCCAAAGGCCTTGGATGGATGCCAAGGTCAGGGATCAGCCCGGTGGCTTGCAGCATAATTGGGTTTCAGTTGCCTCCTCTTTCCTGGGGGCACCTAGTCCTCATCAAGGACTACTTGACCTTGGGGGATGAAATCCCATCTTTAGCAATTGTTAGAATTCACCCCAAATAAGGCAATTGTAATCCGATTCTATGGGAGAGGCGGGAAAAAAAATAAACACTCAAACCAGCTTCCATTTTTAAACTTATCCGTTTCCCCGTCAAAATAGAAAAAGCTGACAAAAGCAGACTTTGAGGGTATGTGTCTGAGCAACTGAGGCACTTTACGGCCTGTGGACTTCGATTCCCAGAATTCCTGAGCCAGCATAAGCCCACAAGCCATAAAGTTGGCATAGCTGTTTCCCCCCTTTTAACACACTTGCTTTAATGTTCATCAGCTCAAACCCCTCAGCAATGTTAATTCAGAGTAAGACTGAGATGGAGCAAATACCCAGAATTTCAAAATATTGTCTTCCTGTTTTGGTGTTTATTTCCCCCCACCTAGTAAGGCGAACTCCAGATTTAACCGCTTTTCCACTGATCGAGTGAAACCGACAAGATTAAACTGAACTAACCATCTTTAAGTCGCATCAACTGCCATGGCCAACCGCCATCTTAACTCAGATGGACTTTTTTTAGTACAATTCACCGATTAATCCAGTTTTTCCAACTGGCGCCTCCAGACGAATTGAGGCAGTTGCCCGGTGGCTTTCCATTTCAGCAGGCAGAAAGGGCTGGGGGAAATGGCTGGCACAGGCTGGGATTTTTTTACACCTTTTGCCTATCCTGGTCTTAAATCTCTTACTTTAAGGCACCCCAAAATGATGCAGGGTAGACGGTTTCCAGATTATGTTGAAAGTGAATCCCGTTGCTTTAATATTCTTTGTTGAAGAACCCTTTCCATTTTTGTGGGAAACAGAAAGTTGTTTTCAGTGGGAAGCTAAGGACCGAAACCACAGACAAACGGCAAACATTTGGAGATGTGTTTTTAATAACAAGTATAATTTAATTCCTAGATCAGCTTTCTCAACCTTGGCCAATTGAAAATGCATGGACTTCCAACTCCCAGAATTCCCCAGTCGGTACGGCCAGCTGGGGAATTCTGGGAGTTGAAGTCGACACATCTTAGAACACAGAACACTAAATAGGGTTCGAAGGGACCTTGAAGGTCTTCTAGCCCAACCTCATGGATAGCTCAAGAAACCCTGGTCTAGAATAGCAATTTTTCCCCCGCTCTGGCCTGGACCGAAACCACCGAAAGCTTTTCTGAAGGAGGGGAACTTTTGATTGTCCACCGGAGTGGAAAACCGAGAAAGTCAATTTTTCCCGAATCTCAGTGAGTTGGGGTCCAGGGCAGGATCCACCATGTCATGCCAGGACAGAGGTGGGCACAAATTGTGCTCACCCATGAACCAGCAATGCTTCCCAACAGCCCAGAAGCCACAAAACAATCACAGATTTCTCCCTTGCTTGCCCGAACGCAGCTGACCCAGAACCGCCTTGGTGCCCGGGATGCATGGAGCCACCGATGGGCTTCTCAATAAGTTTTTGGGGTGGCAGGAATGGGGGGGTTCAATGGAATCCTCCCCCTTTCTTGGAGCTGCCACAGGTCGTGCCTTGTGGGCAGGGCAGAGCTGACTCTTAATGGAGTTCCAGCTTCTCCGGGCGGGCAAAGCATGGCAAGACAGAGGCAGACGAGAGAAACCGAGGCCGGATCTTCATCTCCCGTCCTTCTCAAATCGGGGGGGGGGGGG